ACCGTACGTACTACGTAATAACGTAACCAACCACACTACTACTACTACTACTATATATATATATATATATATATATATATATATATATATATATATATATATAATAAGTATAATATAGTTAGTTAGATATTAATCAAATGTTGGTTGCTTCACTGACTTCTGTTCGGAGCTCCGTACCCAGCATACTCATGCCCATTGCGGCATTGATAGGAGCATCCCGAACCATTGCACCTCACAGACTCGGTATACCATGCGCATTGGTGTTTGTGTCAGTGCTCATGTGTGTATCTACGGCTTCTTTTACATTCACTCCAGCGCTCTGCCAGATATCGCTGTCTTCACCCATAGACATGTCAGCCAGTTGTGTGTCCGCCCCCGTGTCGTCTAAGTTATTACCATCGACAGCACCTACAAACCCACTGGTCTCCGGCACCTCCATCGTATCCTCGGTGGCCATTACATCCATACTTGCTCCCCCTTCTTCTGTATCTAAATCTAACTCAATGTCTACATCATTGTGCGTGTTCGTGGTCACGCCTGTGAATCGGTTAGTGTTCGTCGAGCTGTCGAGCTGTGCTGCCGCCTGTGTGGGCACAGAAAGTACGGACGGTGTGGTGATAGACATGCCCCTCGGTGTCTCGTTTAAAGACTCGTTATCAGTGCTTGGCGAGGTGGGGGGATTGCTGACGTGCGATTGTTGTTGTACTATTAGCCGTTGGTGTTCGGCCGGATGTCTATTGGCGTAATTAGTAATGAATTTCCTGTTGACGATACAGACAGAGAAGATATCATCAGTACAAATGTGTGTGGGGGAGTGGTTTGAATAGTCTCTATCCATGCGAGCCTACACATCGACAGTATTGCAGTATTGTACAACGCATGAACGAAGATAAGGGTATATGTACCGAGCATTATCGCTCTCACATTGTATAGTAATATCGATAATGTGTTTCACAATATGTTATGTATGCTGTCAGCTATGATCACAAAACACACCTATCGATACTGTACACATTCGCGTATATCTGTGCACTCGATATAAATTGATCCGAACTTTCCTATACGTATTGAAGCAGAAGCTTATGATCGCAAACGCATGCACGAAGATCAGCGCAACTGAGATACTAGAATTAAAATACAATTCATACCCGAATACGTCTGTAAATTCGACATTAGCGATGGTGCTGAACAAATCCACTACTAACGAGTCGATCAACACCGTTGTAGAACTCTGTAGGACAGCGGTAAACACCAACGAGGAAGTTAAAAATTGTGAAAGATAGGCTTTTATTTTTTTTACGACGACGCTTGTGTGGCTGCATATCGTGAAACTAAGGATATAGGTTTCCAGGTATCCGATAGATTAGAATTCAACTTGATCTTGACAACGCCTGTGCCGTCACGGCATACACTAACAACACTGACGACTGATCAACTCCAGCACATACGACACCAACATGCTTATAGAAATCAAACGCATCGGTACGAAATTGGAAAGGTCGCTAAAAAAAAGCCATAAATGTGACACGATCGTAGGGCCAATCTTCATTGATTAAAAAAAGCGACAAAGAGCAATGAATGAATATAAAAACGAATTCCAGGCCGCTTTTACAAAACACGCAGCTCCAAACATGAAGAAGGAAAAAATCTTTGATTAGAACATACAGTACCTCCATAACGAGCGCTCTATCATTTCGTATATCGTCAGGCCATACTTGACTACAACATCTGATGTTAAAAATTCAACGAAGAACAAGGCATACCTCGACCACAGTATCCAGTACATCAAGGATCGCCGAGTGTACCATGTTATACCACGGTCCATTTGCAATCAATGCCTGAGTTAGCCGGATCAAGATCTTATTCTGCAAATGAACCCCAGTGAGAGTGAGCGGTGAGATACCTTCAATTAGTAAATTATACCTACCTATGTATATATATCGGAACCAGATTCACATGTATTCAACATGAGAAAAACCTGAATTCGCATTTATATTCAGCTGAGCTATTCGCATAATATATATATATATATATATGTGTGTGTGTGTGTGTGTGTGCGTGTGTGTGTGTGTGTGTGTGTGTGTGTGTGTGTGTGTGTGTATGTATATGTATGTATATATATATATATAACTCATGCGTCAGTGGAACCTGGTTAGCAGTTGACCGGCCATCGATGTAACAAAAGGCATCAGCTATCGCGCATAATCACTAAAAGCTAAGTTTAGTTCAGGTCCGACTAACTATAAAACTTATACTCAGAGAATCTTGTTGATACAGCATTCACTAACCTCAACCAGATGTCTATTGTAGAATCCGTCTTGCATACCCACAATCGGCCTCAGAAACCTCACAGCACCTGCACAAAATAGAATAATAATTAAAGACTATACGATCAGGATAGATCCTATGAGTTATGCTGCCCATACGGTGATGTATCAGATGACAAAATAGATGTCACCAACAATTCGTGCGCAAATAAGACTAACTATTTTGTGACAGTGCTGACTTACTGCGTATGTTGAGATGTATCAGAGAAACCACTGAATGAGAGCGTGATAGAAAACCTTCCCCGACGAATACACGCACACACGCTGTACATGCACAGCTAACGAATTTGTCGATGAAAGGGTGATAGAAAAAAGCGGAATTTCCTCAGAAACCCGGCCCAACAAGTGAGCCCTCAACGAGTGTTTAGTGCACTTACAAAGTTTCAGCAGGGTCTCTGGCGATGATAGGTAACTCATAGCCTGTTAATTGTAAGTGGCAAAAGCATGATCAGATTTGTGCAATGCAAGTACACACTTCACCAAATAAAATCGAAAGGTCAATCAAAAGAGTATGGACATGACCGCTCAATCAGCAAGAAACTTTCCAAAGCAACGTTACTATACGGTAGCTATTGAGTATTCTACCCTAATTACCTTGACAATTAGGAATTCTCTGAGCACTCGATTCCTTAACTCATAGCCATGCCGCGTGACGAAGAACGTCAACAACTCAATGATTATTTGTATAGTATTTGTTCTACATTCGGCTTCCTCCATGCTCATATCCGAAGGGCCCTGGTAAAGATAAAAGTAGGTAGAGTATGAAGCACATATATAACATACGCAACGCAATAGCTGATATATCAATGCGCTCTCAATGTTTGATGCGATTCAAATTTAAGTCGGAGTTAGAGTATGCAAAGCTAGTCGTCAAGTATGAAATTTGTTACTAGTCAAAATTAAAATGCAATAAGCACAGCTGTGTGTAAAAGACACCGTCTTTGAGATAGATATTTAGCTTACTTTTGAAGTGAGTAAGAGGTGGTTATAAAGATTATAAATGTGCCAGCCTCGAGCGAGTAGGGCACTCTATGCTCGAGGGGTGGGGTGTCACTGCCCCCAAAGTCTGTAGGTGCTTATGAAGTCTTTAAAATCCGAATCGCTGTATATGTTGTTTATCCTCACACATGTCTCAACAGAGCCAGAAACATACAAACGCACATATTCGCAAGTAGACACTCGCTTCTTTAACACCGAAAAGTTTACCTACCGGTGTGTACTCTTCGAGCGGAGATACCAGCAGCTCGAAGCTATCGTTATAAAGAATACTCTGGAACGATCTTTTATCAGTAATCTGTAATCGAGGAGCGGTAAACGAGCGTAAACAGCGCATATTTTCGTAATATGCTGAGCAGTCTGAAAAGGCGCACGAACCCATCTGGGATTTGGCTTAAAGCACAGTAACACTCAGGCTGGTCCAGAAAACTCTGTTTAATCCGCTACCAACCCATTTTAGCACGGACCCCCGGAATATATGCAGATTGGGAACAGAAGAGTTGAAACGTCCACACGCCACACAACAAATTTCAAAACGAGACACTAGCGTACGTACCGACCCTTCCATCGCTGTGCTATCGAACAGACTCTTGAGAATCTCTGCACAGAGAGCCTTTACAGACCCATCTGAGTCGTGCACTATCCTGTGCACAATCACTCGCAATAACATGCTGTTCCTCAGAGCATCCTTCTCCTCTCCCGCAGCGTGTTTGGTGTATGTTTCGTATTGGGTGCGCACGAGTTGCCTGAAGGCTTCGCCATCCATTATCAGCAATATGTGTATGCTGTCGGTGGCGGCAAGTCGGGTCTCGTCGTCGGGTGAACTCATACAAACCGCAATTATATCCACTGTAAACAAAAAGAGAGCACAGGCAATTGTAAAATCAGGACGAGACAAGTATAAGTGAGCGAGGAACCTATGCAGACCACAGTTATATGCACTGCGAACGACAAATGTCACGATGGAAGTGTCGAGCTCAGGGAGAGATATGTATAGACTGGGCCAGCCATTTGACAACGAATGAATGAGATAATGGATGATGTGGCTACAGGCATTTACACATTGTGTTGTGGTGAATGACGCCGGTTTAATTGCGCAATGAATAGCCGAGAGACAAAACACAAAAGCGGTGTGTGCACATGGTGGGACTCAAGGACCATTAAGGTCGGGTTGTATTCGAATGTGCATAAACTTGACGGCAGCAAGCAAACAGTGCTTGCGCGTGGTAGACACGATGTGCAAGTGAAAGAATACCTAAGCCTGCTTCCATCAGTTTCGTTCGGACATTTAGTCGGAAGGCTGCTTCGTGCGAATGTGAGCACATGGCCAGGAGGTCGCGTATAGTCAGAGTCAGGTGGCGCTTCTCCTCTAAACTGTACACCCTGTTCTCCGCCACCTCGCCCGTATCCATGCCATTATCTCTCTCAGTCTCCGTGGGCAGACCTGCTGCTCCAGAGCTCTCTATACTGTGCGCTGGTGTGTGACTTGTGTGGCCATTGGTGGTGGTGGCACCGTATGTTTGCCTACAGATGGCTCCTGTCCCAGCGGTCGCAAGCGACTTGTGCGGTGTACGCAATACTTTGAACACCGTATCGATCCACGCCGATTCTTCCTCGACGATACTCTTAGCTATCTCACCTTTGTTGAAGGCAACGAAATTACTTGCCATGGCGTATATTGAGTCGATGAGCGACTTAAATAATATGGTATCTGCCAGATACTGTATGCGGAAGGTCGTCAGGATGTGTTTCACCAGGTTCTCGTCCTTGAACGCGATGGGGAGACGCGGCCTGACTAAGAGTAGAGCCTTTCTGTGTTGTATCCTTACGTGCAGCTGTATGGGAAGATGTAGTTAGAGAGGCGGAAAGCACTGAGGTTCGATTGTGTGGGAATAAATGATAGCTTGCAAAATTGAGATCTCAAGTAGAGTGGGTTGACTTTTACGTGCGATTGTGTGGGAAAATATGGTAGCCGATGAACTAATGTGGAGCGTATGTGATCGTATGGGAATGAGTGGTAGCAGGTGTAAGTTCAAATGTTGCGTATTTAATCTATAGTATTTCAGCAAGGCACCCACATGTGGTAACTACACGACTATCCTCCTGTGAAGTACATATCAAAGAACAACAAGTGCGAGCTCTCTTCGCGACACATTCGATATCGGTTGAATGAGTACAGGTGGTGACAATCATGTTAGGGTGTAATATTCGCCCAATGATACACTACAGATGGCTCAGATCTCTCAAATTCCTTAATGTATCGCCAAACCGGAAACAATCAAATGTTTTTTATTTGATAGATGT